TACTCTCCTTGTCAAACTCCCCGCCTGATAATGTCTTCATTGAGATTCGCAATGCTAGAGGGTGTTTGCCTGATACAAAGAATGAAGAGCAGAATTTCAATCTTCTCCTCAATAAATGGAAAATTCATGGAAGTGGTCGTATCTCATTGGCGATCAGTGTTTCCCGCAATGCCACACCCTCTCATGACTCTTTACAATGTCGAACTAGAGTCAAACTCAACAGGGCCTTCCTTTCCTGCTATTTTTACCAAGCAGTTCTCTACGCTTTAGTTTCGCTAGAGACCAGTAGAATCTCGTTGATCTATTCATGCAGGTCTAGTTGGCTGAGGAGGCCACAGTCTTGTCATTAATCCATCTTCATCGTGAGCGACTGAAGACGAAACCGCACGAGCATTAATCAACTAACCGACCCGTTTACTGAAGCCGATTTTCTCAAAAATGCGGATCTAACTTGCCAGATTTCCTTACCTAGATTGTCCCATCGACTAGAGGTTAATCGGTTGGAGATCTGATGGGGATATCGGGGGAGCAGCACAGATTGTTAGCCTTTAGTCTAAAGAACACTAAACATCACAGCCCGCAATGCTTCGTCCCCATCCACGGCTGGACCAATTCCAGGAAGTGCAACTCATCTAGGAAGAAAATTCTAGCTTAGTCTTTGAGCGACGCGACCAGTTTGAATGCGTTACTGCACAAGTAACTCAAAGAGCCGCAATCTCTGTGTATGCATTAGGGGAGATTAATCTTTGCTCTCTTCTTGTAGCCGAGAAAAAAGAAACTTTCCTTCTCGATGATACAGAGAATTAATGGGTATCTATCTTAGAATCAACTGACCCACTTTCAAGTAGGGCGAAAATTCTTATATTTGAGGGGTGTTGAGGTGGTGCAAAGGTCTGCCCGCCGGTACTGTCAGATCCGCGGTTCGTGCGCATTGCGTTTTATGGACATTTTTGTCAGCGGGCTGGCATTATTCTAGGTGATCGAAAAGAGACCGGGCGATGTCGTATTCGGGTAAGTTTTTAGTCAGTTATAGTTTTTTTAGTTTTTTTCCATAGTTTTTAGCGATTGTAGGGGGATGGCACAATCATGTCCGCACACATCACATGAGCTACGTGTTGCGCCATGTCAGTGCAAAGCGTTTCAACATGAAGTACAATTTTGAAAATTTACAAAAACTCTTTTCAGTCTCTACGTATCAAATCCTACACGATGCACACGAAAAAGAGAAATTTTCGACTAATTTTTATTTTTTTATTTGTTTTTCACCCCTTGTTTTTGGCGTGCTAGCGGCACCAAAGTGCTGCCATAAAAGAGAAGATGCGAAAATATGTTCTAAAAGATTATGGGAGAGAAAAGACTCAATTGAAGGCAAAAAAATTAGAAAAAAATGACAATTTTGAGTGTGCTTATAAAGTGTCGTAAACTTGCTAGCTGTTTGTGCATTTGCGGCATCAGGCATACTGTTGTGTACGCCCTGCCGTGGCCTACATATGAAGCAACTTTGAAGATTCTGGAGGACTTCTGGAATTTTTCAGAATTTTGCACAAAAAGTGTAACAGATATCCGCCAACCTAATACATTCTCTTTTCTATTTTAACACTGTTCTTGATATGAACTGAGCTTTGTGAACATTATGTGTGTTCTGCCGCTCTAAAATTTCAAGTTTATTTTGATAAATCTAAAACATTGCTGAAATGCAAAATATTTGATGCGATATCACCGAAGAATTTACTCCGTCAATTCCCGAGACCAAATCCTGCAACCCACAATTTCTGAATAACCGATGCTTGCGTTCAACTTCGCTCTCAGCACGGGCGTTTCTAATACAGTTGCAGAATATTGGAGCAAGCGTACAACCTCTCAAGTGCAAACCATCCAGGTTTACAGTTATTGCTATTACAGAATGTAAACCCTGTATTATCTGTGATGATATATTCGCTCAGCTCTCCAAAGTCAAAGAAGGCGCTGCGTGTTTGATTCAAAAGAAAAACAAGACTAGGCACGCAGCGGTACGTACAGATGTTTTCTATTCGCAGCTGTGCGAAAATTCGAGACGGTGATAAAATTATTTCAGCCACGAAGAAAATGAACTTCATGGTATGCGCACAAAAATGCAGAGCCTTGGAAAGATTAAACACAAACAGGACAAATTTGGAAAATTCGTCAAAGATCCTATCTTTATTCTTTCTTTCCATTTGCAAACCTTTCCTTCAAAGTACACAAGTTCTGTACACGATACGAAATACTTGCATGGTCTTTGAGATAAGCAGATGAGCTGATTGACCAGAAATTTTGATTTGTTAACTTACCACTCACGAAATTTGACAAGGACGGCCTCTGAACGCGTCAAATAATCTCTTCTTTGCCTAGTAAACAGTTGAGCCATAATAAAGAGCTGCTTGACTATGACAAGTGGCTCTTGAAGTAAGAAGTTTTGACAGTGGAAACAAAAATAGTTGTTCATGTTTATGACGCACCAAAGTAGCTTACTCTGGCATGTTTCTGACTCACCAAATGAACATGAAGAGGAAAAGTTCCATTTCACATATACTTAAAAATCTATCTCCGTTCTCTGCTTACTACAGCCTTCGGCATGTACACATAGATATTGACGGAATTCAAGTACAGTATACAGTCTGCCGCAATCCTAACCAGGCCAAAATTGGCTTGGCGGGAGTGCGCGTCGCGAGGATTTCGCGCCATTTCTGCGTCTAGCTAGTCTGCTCTCTCCTCAATCTCTTCACTCTCTGCGACAGCGCGCGTATGCAGCGCAATCCCCTAGCGCTGCGAGCGCGCAAATTCAGCCGACGGTTCTGCCTGATCCCGATCGGGGCAGACTGTAGGTCCGGGCGGGCGAGCCACACTCTGGCTAAAAGTGCAGTGACGATGTTCGGTTGCGAAAGCTGCTCGGCGGGATATGTGTTTTTTCTCCAAGCAATATCATTAATCTAAGTTGTTGAATCCGTCTTCTGGACAGTTTCTATATGTGTCTATCAGATGTTTCCATGTAGAAAAAGAGAATCCGGCTTGCACTGATATGTTCACTGTCTAAGGCCCCGGTCAGACTTCACGCGACTTAATCGTCGCGATCTAATCGCCAAGATTTCCATTCATTTTCATTTCACATTCAAAAATGTCGGGCTGGAAAAGTATCACAACCGAATGCAAGTTGATCGGCATGGAATGATGTTGTAACAGTTGTCTCGTCGCGACTCAGTCGCGACGATCAAATCGCGTGAAGTCTGCCCGGGGCCTAACAAGGGAATGGTCAGAAATAGAAGTGGCCAATTCAAGCAGGCTTCATACCATTCGACGCAGCATAGAATGCTGATTTCAGATCTGTCTTCCTTATCTGCAGAGCGTTTTTGTAGGCGAAGTTATAAGCCGTCATTTGTCATCATTTTGCTAAGAAATTGTGCGTGTAAAGGTCAAACTTGGCCGTACAAAGCCATTCTCGGCTCATTGTTGGACCAAAACGTGTAACTAGGTCAGTTTATATTGCTCGTACCTAAAGGTGAGCTAAAAGAGCAGTGATCTGCCTAATTTCGCAGTTTTTGTGAACGATTTTTCCGCAATAAAGCTGCTCATAACTTCGCCCACAAAGGCGCTCTGCAGATACGGAAGACACATTTGAAATCAGCATTCTATGCTGCATCGATTGGTATGCAGCTTGTATGGATTGGCCACTTCGACTTCTGACCATTCCCTTGTAAGGACATTCAAGTAAATCTCTTGCCATTGAATGTCTGGCTTTCTTTGGCATTTTCTTTTCTTGAGTTAAACACTGCATTCAAAGCTTAACTTCAGGAGCGGCAACTAAGGCTAAAATGCAAAAATTAACACTTTTTTCAACAGAGTTAGGGAAGAACGTTTGGAGGCAGCGTCAAGGCAGGTTTGGACATTCTCGGATACTATCATAATCGAGTGCTGGGGCCTCGATCTAGAACTATCGCACAAACCCGACCTCCAAACATCCGCTCAAAATGGAGAAAATCGTCGCACAAATTAACATAGCCGCGGAAAACCCGCCTACTTTGGTGAGGCCAAGCTCAGGGCCCGGCAGGAAGTGGCATTTCAGAATTTTGAAAACGATATCCCCTTTGAAGCCAAAATTTCTTACGACTTCCCCTTTGACCCTATTTTTGACCCCCGTAAGTCCCTGACAAACAGATATACACAAATAATAAGATGGGCGGCCTCAGCGCTTATTATAGTAGTACTACCTGGCTTTCCTGGTCCAGCCGGGTCATCAAGGTTTCAGCTCAATGGGTTCATCCGCAAAGGAATCTATAAAAAAAACATAGGGTCGAGATTTGCACAAACTCTGACGTTTACGCAAGGAATACAAATTCCTATTTGATTTTGATAAGGCTATTCTTCTCTGTTATGGTAGATATTGGTATTTTGCATGCAGCTTTATGTCCATCAGACCATCACTTTGAAAATTCTAGAAACATATAATATTGATTACATGTAAAGTTTAGTCGTTACTGTTTGCTCGAGTAACTAGTACGAATCGATACTGAAGAGCTGAAGAAGCGCGGAAGTAATCTGGTTCGTTCAAAGGCAGTGTCTCGGAAAAATTGCATTTGCGAGCTTTCTATCCCTCCTTGGCCTTCTGGATGCGGTGAGTCCAGGGCTGCGCTTGGGAAGTCAAAAAAGTGCTTTCCATGGCGTATTCCGGTCTTGATTGCTCGAGGGATGGGCGAGCGACCGACTGTCTCGCGATTGGCTGCCTGAGTCGATCAGCCAATTGCCGCCGAAATGGGTGGAGCTACAGTTTCCTGCAGCCGGTCGCTGTTTTTCGGCGGGAATCGCTCGCCCGGCCAGCTCAGCAACCTCCAAGGCCGGAATACGCCAAAAAAATACTTTTGACTTTTCAAGCACAGTCCCGGACTTACCGGATCCAGAAGGCCATGTGACTGTGAAAAGCCCGCAGTTGCAATTTTCCCGAGCCGGCTAAGGGGTACAGAGCCCTGTGGTGCGTAGTGCGGGGAGCAATGTTCGTAGACGACTTTCATCTTCTAGCAATGCCCTATGGACCAGTTCTGAAGGCAACAAATAGGTCAGTAAAGGAACTCTGCAACGCCTTAAGGAAAAAATTATAATGATCAGAGTGAGACGAAAAGCTGCTTTGGGTACACAACTCAATTAGCATCATTGTCCTAGCAGCATGATTACGCATTCCGCGTAGAGGGTAGTATTGGGCGCTGATATAGCATAAACCAGAAGTAGGGCGCACTACCTGGAGTGTGATCGAGCGAAACTATACTGTCAAAAATTATTCCTTAAAATGGTTAAATCCGATCTGCTACGAAAACAATCATAAAAATCGAAAATAATGTGCGAGATAAAAGCGTTGAGATGTTCTGGGAGGTGCTTGCCTTGTCATCTCCAAGTTCTTGCATACTTATGCTGATGCAACTGATGTTACCTCAGTGCCGAAATATTTTAGCGCCTTGCCAGAACCGTGCTGTCGCCGTGTCGGAATCCTTGCACGCGCCCTGTATTGATCGATCGATGTTCAGGCACGGCGCTAGCACGAATCCGTTTACAAGGCCTATTAGGAAACGCTTCGCTTGTTTGTCGTTAATCTTTGCAGAAAGTCAAGCTTTTCAAGTCTTTTATAACGATGCGTTCACTCCAAAGGCTACAGAGTACTCGACCGCTGCATCTTGGGCGGTAGCGTTTGTGAGCAGGCAGCTTTTTGAGCTTTAGCACTCTTCCACCAGCTGAGAACAGATAATGTGCCAGTGGCTTACAGTTTTTACAAATATGAAAAAGTGCTAGTACTTTTTTTAACTCATGTAGGTAATTTTCAAAGATTTCGCGGCCCGTTCCTTTCCCCACCCCCTCCCCCCCCCCCCCCCACACACACACATACTCCCCTTCCTCCGAAGGGAAGAGACAGCGCAGAATGGCTACGGAGGCATTACGACAGTTCGCAGAGATTTTTTAGCCGTACCACTGAAAACCGCTGAGAAACGTCCCGAAGTCTCGCAGAATGTTTGCCTTCTATCTCACTAGACTTGAGTAACCTTCTACAATTTTACTTGGGAAATTTAAATTATTTTATAGATATTTTGAACTGCTCAAGTATAAAACTATAAAAGACTAATCAATTATGAAAGCCTTGAGAGTATCATATTGGCGGTTTTGCAAGAAACAGATTCATTTACTTTTTTCTTACAATTTGCTTGTAGCTGAACCGATGCAAGTCTTTGCAAACCATTCTATGTAGTCGATGTGAACTGCATCTCCTATATGCAATAGTCACGCTTTTCAAACGAGACCACTACAAACGACTAAATCGCTTACAAGCAACGATTTTGTATACGATAAGAATTATCTGATCACACTGTTTCCAAAAAATTTTAGAACTCATACGCAAAGTCTGTCTACTTAGAGTTTCTTGGGGCCAGGTTGGTAAATTGAAGATCAAGTTTGCGAAAAGGAGAAGCGCTTTCTAAGAAGCAAGGGTCAACCTTATCCTACACGATGCGTAGTCTCATGACAATGATCTTCATTTCTAAGTGCTCCCATTAATTTCAGAATTGTGAAGAATTTATCAGCTGCCTTAGGGTAGGGGAACGAACTCCGCCAGTCTTAGCCCGCCTTCGCTGGCAATTGGTTCTTTTGCTGTACTGCTGCATGTCGTTGCAGGACCAGCAGTCCGTGGAGGCGTTCAATTGGCGGATTTCGTTCCCCTTCCCGCTGCGGGATAGTCATAGATTGCATATGCAGCCCCTGTTTCATGTTTTGAGAAAGTTTCGCACTGTGAGACCGCGATGATTGAGGAACAGATTCTCGTGCTGGGACCACTTCAAAGTGCTTTTGTTTGCTAGTAGGCGTAGTCCCTATATGTGCAGTCAGTGAGCTGACATTCTGAGGATAATGTCATCGACCGAGGTAATTTTTGCGTACTCATGTTTACATGCTGGTTTCTAGCGATGAAAATGATCCTATTTTAGGATAGAAGCGATCATTTGAAAGGTCATGGACGCGTGAAAATCAACGTGGGTGGAACTATCTTTGAGACTACGATCTCCACCCTGACAAGAGTGGATAATACTGTCAGTTCTGATTTTTTCGAATTTCCCAATCCTTCAGCTAATAAATGAAACTTCAAAGGTACTTTCTACTATGGTTGCGGATCGTTGGCAGAATCAAGAGGAATTGTTTGTGGATCGAAGCCCAACGCACTTTGAAAAAGTACCATGCAAGCCAGTTTCCCCAACAGAGAATCTAGCAAAATTTGTGTTTCAGATACTAAACTACTTGAGAGATGGAAACAATTTTATTCTTCCTGCGGATTTTGAAGCTAGAGAGAGCCTTCGAAGGGAAGCTGAGGTGAGATCCATATTTATAAACTATGTAGTGTGTTGGCTACTTGCAGTTCTACAATCTTCCTGGCCTTGCCGAATTGTGCTCCCCGGGTTTCCATGTAGGTGATTGCGTGCAGTGGAATTAGACCGCTATAGAAGCATATTGGAAACACATCGCTAGGTGAGAGATGTCGAGGCAAGCCTATAGAGTCAAGAAGAGCACATCTTGAAGGCAGCATACGCTCAAATTTCTATCAAAATTTTCAAGTGGTATTTGAACAGTTCTTTTAGAAGAGATAATTGCACACAATTTCTTATATAGAAAACTCGGTTAATCTCGAAGTATTAGAGAATCTAGTTGACCAATCGGCAAATGCTGGTCATCAGATGAAACTAGTTTGGTATCAGCAGTTCTGAGTAAGTCCGCGAACATAAGTGTTGGGAATCGATTACTTTCTCAACGTCAGAAGGATCTATCTTGAAAGGTGTGGGCCGAATTTCTCGAATAGCAAAATAAACGCTTTCTCCTTTTGTTAGGATCTTTGAACACATATCCCTTCTTTCCTCTGCTGCCATGTTATTAATGAGTTTTCTTTCCAGCTTATGAAAATTAGTTCGATAATTTGGATCAGTGAGATCAAAATCAACAAAGAAAGGAATTTTCGAAACGCTTCCCCCCCCCCCCCGAGAACGGGTCGCGAAATTTTTGAAAGTTGCTTACATGAGCTATAAAATTGTGTAAATGACGTGTTCATAATTGTAAATAATTTAAATATTTTTGAAAAATTTTTAAAAAATCAAATTAGCCTTATAAAAAAATTTTTTTCGGGGCGTGGCTGACGCCACGCCCCCTTTTTAATCCTGGGTACGCCACTGCCTACGGTTGATATATTACAAGAATTCAGTCACCTGAAGAGTGCATGCATGAAGAGTTGGATAAGTTCTAAGTATGAAAATTTGCAAGATAAGATATTCTTGAATACGTAAAATTCACAGATAGATTTTGGAACTTGTGTGGATCGACAACTTCTATGTTATGTTTTGTGATTGAAAGAATCACCACCGCTTCTGCTAGATCTGAATTAACACAAGGTGCTTTACAAACTTTCTCAAGCGCAAACACTAGAAAAGCTCATTTTATCCGAACATTTAATTAAAGTATAAAGAAATGAAAAAAATAGAGTCAACTAGTTATGAATACAATATTCATTCCGTATTATGCGCCATTTCTTCTGATTACGATGCGCGTGCGGTAGATGGCTGAAAATCCCGAATGTGCTCAAAACCTTGCCTGAAGGGGTTCGTGAGCATGTTGGTTGCAGATAGTATCATGCTGGTTCGCTGTAGCAATGCCTTACTGGTAGAGTTACGATGCGCGAAAGAGCAACCATTCCGCTTTCAACCCACTTAGATCCTAGAAGTCCAAGAAAAGGCTTTATTGTGCGAGAGACTAGTGCGATATACCGGATCAGCACGTTGGACAACACACCTGCACAAAGATTGGAGCAGATCTATCATATTGGCCACTAACCGTACAGATATCTTAAGTCCGTGGAAAAGTTTCCAAGACGCAAGAAGCATGATATTCGTAATGAGCATACTTAGGAACCTCTCTAGGCAAAGCTTTATACAAATTCGGGATTTTTAGCAATCTATCATCACCCGCCATAACCCAGATGCGCTGCGTAGGAAATGAATATGATTTTTTATGTTCAGCTTGCTAAACATACCCACTAGACGAAGTTTGGGGCAATTTCTTGATGTTGACCCCCTAGCGTAATCCTACCGTAACTCCACCAGATGGCACTACTGTGGTAATCAACGTGCAAAATAATCGCTTTAGACAAAGTTCTAGAATCCGCGATTTTCATTTTTTGGAGCAACTAATAAAATAGCACCTAGTTTCTCTTATCGTCAAGATGGTCTCTCTTTCAACTGTCGTTTTTTAGGGCACTAAATGATTATATTAAAAATTCTATGTGTGGCCGCAATGAACTTTTGATTGTGGATCGTAGATCGCTTCGTCTGTACGAAAGTCCAGACAGCTCCGAAGGCGAAAAGTGGATGCATGTGAAGCATGAAATGCGATTCATGAAAGGATCTGTGAAGGGGGTAATGCAATTTTTAAAATTAAGAAACTTGTTGTTTATTCAAAAATGAGGATTTGCAGCTTGAATCAGAGACTTGCTGCTTTGTAGAATGGGACGTTGGATGGCGTACACATCATTTCACGCAATCTGCACTACGATTGGCAAACTAGCCGTGGATTTTCTTTTGTGTAAACAGCCACATTTATTTTGACCAGCTTTGTGCTGATGCCATTTATTACCAAGAATCAGCCAATGGTTCTCAAGTAATCCACATAAGATCCAAGTAACAGAACACGATATTCTTAGCATAAGAATTATATTATATTCTATTTCTTATAGTCTTAGAATAAGAATAAAATCTGTTTAATTTCTGCAGTCATGTTAATAAAGTTGTACAAATAAAGCTGTACATTTCATCAGGCATCCCTCAGCGATCCTTTGAACGAACGAAAATTTTCCTTTTTCTCGCCTCACTGCGAGAAACAAAAGACAATTTTTCAAGATTTTGGATTAGCAAAGTCCTCATTGGTATTTGGATAAACTTTCGACCAACGGAAGTTGACCGTTGAACTTTCGACCAACGGTCGAAAGTCGTATTCCGTAAAAGATTCAGATCTTAGATCTCGCTGGAATCTCGTCTCACTGGCTAGGTTTAGTCAGCGCAGTGTACGGACATGAATCCAGAGTAATTTCATTGTTGATTTTTATTTAGTGGTGTTCTTTGGGCACTTCAAAGATCAAGCCATATTGATTAAAACAACGTATACGGTAAAAACCAAAGAATGTGCTTTGCATAGACTAAATCTGCAAGGGAGTAGTTCTGCTACGGAGGATTCAGTTTGAGTGTCACGGTCGACGCGGCTCGGGTCTTCATAAGCCGCCTTGATTGGGCCACTCGACGCGTTCGCAAAAGTGTCTCAGGCAATATGTCAGCCATTGATCCTTGAGCGTACGGTAGTTCCAAAGCCTTGAGCGCGAGAGAATACCGTAACCACTGAGGGCGAACGCGGCGAGAGACCCAAGCGAGGCGACTCGCGAGGACCATAGCTGCGCCGACCGTGACACTCAGACTGGAACTCTCTGCAGCTGGAAGCGGACTTGCGGACTGACCACTGAGTCATACGACGTAAAATCGAATCTTTCGCTTCGATATACTAATTGCTTTCTTTATACTGGTGATACTTTCCTCTCATAGGAAACACTCCATAGCTCTAAACCGCTAATACTACTAACAGTTGGATCTTAAAACTTCATCTTACATTTCGCTGAACTTTGCGTGACAATTGCCTGTCAGCATGTTCACCAAATTATGAAAATATACTTATTCCGTACTCGTATAATGTCTTTATGGGGGATTACTGTAATAAAGGAAATTTGGGGATTCACAGCAACTACGACCGTACGAGCTATCTGAGACATGTGAACATGATCAAAAACAATCGAGTTTCTGCCTGGGCGCTGCCTGGAAACGGCAGCTTGCTTGTTTTTCATTGGTTTTGAGCACTTTAAACAGTTTCGCCCACCAAGAACAATTTATTCTAGGAAAAGAGGTCGATTGTTTCGTAGATTTGAAAGATCGGCTAATCACTACTCTCCAATGTTTCAAGAGAAGCTCTCAGTTTTCTGTTCCTGAAATTACCCGCTGAGCATAAACAAGCAGAGGGCTAAGCTTTGGAATTCTAGAAATTGATGAGGAAAATGTAAAAAGAGCTGTAAAAGGGGGGGGGGGTGGTAGTGGGTACACCAAAATATCCAAGGTAGTGCTTCTTCTTTTAGACTAAATTGTAACATCTACGGTAAAGATTATGTGAGTTTTTCCATAGAGTGTTTTCATATAAAAACCCTCCATCGCTTCTTTTTGGAATTTCGGTGTCATTTGCACGTTCATAAGCGCAGCATCTGCGCGGTTTCCATGACTCATTCGTCGATTCCCATCAGCTTCACGCGGCCGTCAACATGGTAGGTTTAATGATTGTGAAACGAAATTAGACTGCCATGACTACTTCTACCATGTTTACTGTGCAAATTTTGACAATGAAAAAATCTTCAGGAAGACAAAATCCTATCTCCCAAATACACACGTGTGAAACTCAACGTTGGCGGTACAGTTTTTGAGACCTACCTTTCTACTCTCACAAAAGTGAATGAAAGTGTGAGTTGGAGCGCGTTTTCATGTTCATTACAGTCATTTCAATATTTGAAAAGGTGCTATCCGCTATGGTGGCCGAGGAAATACAAAATGGGGACGAACTGTTCATAGATAGGAATCCCCTGCTTTTTGCCAAAGTTAGAAACCTGATTCGCAGTCTTAGTGCGAAGTTTCTCAGTTCAGGTACTGGATTATCTACGAGATGACGAGCGTTTTGTTCCTCCATCTGACGATGATGCCAGAGAAGCACTTCGGAGGGAAGCTGAGGTCTTTCTTTGATAAAGAAGGAGCAATTCCTAAGATGTTATTTAGTTCTATTATCTGCCCGAGCTCGTCGAAAAGTGCTTGCCCGAAAAATTTCATACTGGTGTTCAAGTAAAATGGAAGGAAAGCGCTATCGAATCGTACTGGAAGGTTTTCGCCATGTAAGAAAAACTTGATTTTTTATACTTAGTTTAGTCTTATGTCACTGCGAAAATGCATGCGTTTGCATGGAAAATGTATTGAATAATTTTATACCGTAGCGTAACTTTTTCAAGGGCTTTTGACAGACCCAGCTGCGCACTTTGTGCGTACTCGCACACTGCAGACCCGAAATGTCTGTTTCCGCAATTTTCGAAGTCGCGAGATGGGACACCCAAGGACGAGTATTGCTTAGCACTGAAGTATCAAATGCGCTTTATGAAAGGGAAAGTGACATCGGGAGTATGCGCTATAGTATGTATACTTCTCTCCTAGAAAATCTTTTAGTTTTTCCAGCCTTTTGGCAGTCTCCCTGGCTGTTTCGTTATATGGGAGAGTCCCTACGACAAGTATCCGTTACACATCCCAACGTCTGCATTGCGTTTAGCGAAGTGATACGCTCTTTTCTATTTCAACATTGCTCGTGGTTTGAACTGAGCTTTGTAAACTCTATGTGTGTTCGACCGCCCGAACTCATATGTATTTCGATAAATCATGCTGAAGCGTTGTTGACATATGAAGTAGTTGCTGCGATATCACCGAAGAAAAATCGTGAACGATGACCAAATCCTGCACCCACAATCTCTGAATAACCAAAACGTTTTTATTCAACATTGCTTTGAGAAACACAGACAGTTCTGAGTGTAAATGAGCTCAAGTGCAACTCATCTAGGTTTACAACTCATTTGCTATCATAACATGTAAATCCTATAATGTTTATGATATCGGTTCAACACTACAAAGTGAGAATTTCTGAGAGAAAAAAAAGTCTAGTCAGGCACCGAGATAAAGATGTTTTCTATTCGCAACTGTGCGAAGAAGATTCGAGATGGTGATAAATTTATTTCAGCTACAATACCGCTCACATTTTTTGAAAAAAAGACGCGAATGTATGGACGTGTATGGACATGTACGGACATGTCCATGCATGTATGGACATGTCCGTACATGTCCGTACATGTCCATACATGTATGGACATGTCCATACATCAGCGTCGCGTGGCCATATCTCGCTTCAGAGTGGACGAATTCTGAATCCAAAGCCAACATTCGATTTAGCTCGGCGCGGAGAATCTTCTGATATACTGGAGGTGGGGGTACGATGTCTTCGATATTCCGTATCCAGTTTTTTCAATTTGTTCTGCGGAGGTCCTTTCGCGAATATGTGAAGCAACGCCTACCCAACATAGAAGACTTTACTAAGTACCATTCGATAATATTGTTTTTTTTAGATTATTGTGCGCTAAATAATAGGCTCAGACTTCTTTCCAAAGTAGATAGAAGCGTTGGTGAATTTTGGAAAAATCACGCGTCTTTAAATTCTACTGGCCATAACTTCCTTCGGAATAAGTATATTTTGAATCCGAAAACAGCGCCTTGCTCAGCTCATCAAGGCGAATCTTCTCATGTACAGCATGTCCTTGATATTTCGATTTCAGTATTCTTGAATCTTTCTGAGGACGTCTTTTCGCGAAGGTGTAATGCAGCGAGCATTGACCTGAGTACATTCCAGCAAGGATTTTTCGATAGCACTTTTTCTGTAGATTATGATGTGCTAAATAGTAGCCGCAGGTTCCTTTTCAAAGGAAATAGAACGGCTGGTGAATTGTGGAAAAATCTTGTCGTCCCAAATTCTACTCGTCATATCCGCAGGATACGAAGCTATCTTGCTAAGCAGATGTGAGTTTCGAAATCAGCAGGTCGCATAACCTCTACGAGCAAGTTTTCCGATATGTTCGGGTTATTCCATTTCTTCTCGTTTTACGCTCCGGAAGCTCGCCGATGGATTTTGGTCAAAATGTTGATGCTCTTGAATTGTAAAGAAACTTCGCTTATAGAGGTTTTCGAACACGCTCTTTACGAAAATCGTGGTCTTTGAGGATTACAGGGTCTTTTTGGAGAGATACGGTGAGGTGACTGTAATTGCATCACGAAAGTCCGTAACTTTGACCGCACTTCTCGCGTATCTGTCAGAAACCTTGCCTGCTTGCTTTTCTCAGTCAAAGTTATTAGGAACTGTGCTATCGAATGGTGCATTATTCAGGCTCCAGTCTGTGAAATTCGCCGAGTTACGAGCCTACGAAAACATGTCATCGTGAATTTTGCCCAAAATGCAAAGATCGCATATTTCGTCGAAATTTCTCCGTGAGTGCTTGTACAACGCGCTGATCAAATCCTTTCACATTTTTAATGGATCTTATTGTGTTAGATGTGGTGCTTTGAGCTCTAGCCACAAAATAGCTTTAATATTCAATTGAGCAGCTGAAGCAGATGCAAGCACCATCTATATATTAGGTTGGTCCGAAAGTTCTGTCCCTCCATTTTCAAAAAATCATAACTTCTTCCTAACACGATGTTTTTGCATGGCTAAAACCATATTGAAAAGAGCAATTCATGCACTTTCTAAAACTACCTTGGCTGCTATCTAGTAAGATCTAATTGCAGAGATAAAAATGGGGAAATGAAATAACTTCAAGTTCGAAATTTTTGAGCAAGCCTGTTAAAAAATGCAAAACTGTGCCATAAAATCCAAAACAGTTAGTAACCTAGGTTTTCTGATCCCCTCTTTTTATACAAGCAAAATTCGCGCTGATGGAGCTTTTCTCAGAAAAGTTATTATTTTCAAGAAAAAAATGCCAAAAAATCACTTTCTTAAGAAAATTGATTTTTAGACATTTTTTTCAGAAAATCATAACTTTTAAAGAAACAACTCAATCAGCACGAACTTTGACAGCTAAAAAGAAGGAATCAAAAAGTCTAGGACAGTGGCTGTTTTGAAATTTATGGCACAGTTTTGGAATTTTTAACAGGCTTGCTTAAAAATTCCGAACTTGAAGTGATTTCATTTCCCCAATTTTATCTCTGCAATCAGAGCTTAGTAGATAGCCGGCAAGGTAATTTTAGAAAGGGCATGAATTGCTCTTTTCAATATGGTTTTAACCATGCAAAAACATCGTGTTAGGAAGAAGTTATGATTTTTTGAAAATGGAGGGACAGAACTTTCGGACCAACTTAATATATATATATATATATATATATATATCATAACTTATAATAACGGGCTAAGGGTGTTTACGTGTTTTTGTGTGTGTGTGTGAGAGTGTGTCTGTTACGAAATTCGTAGAGCAGTTTCCAGCCAACCTTTTGAGCCCAAATTTTGCATAGCGCATGCTACCTTCATAGAAGCCCAATATGCAAAAGCACGAGTAGATTCGTTGAGTGGGTCCCTCAAAAATTGCGCGCCAAACGGATCCATCTGGCTTTTATCCCGCAAAATTGGGTCCGTATCACCACTTTTTGCAAAGTGGTGGATGCGTTTGGTAAGCAAATGTGCAAGCAATGGAATTTAGCCCGAAAAGTGGTCAAAAGTTTACTACATAACGAAAACGGCGCCAAAAAGAATTGGCTGCGTAGATGGTCAATTGCTAAGGTTCTACTCAAGCATTTGAGAAAATTTTCGTACGGAGTTGTAGAGCACGGTCACTATTGCCTTTATGGCGAACTACCAAGCCATGAAAAATTTAGGAACCTATTCAAATTTGCGTTTGTCTTTCTGCGAAAAGTTTCATCCACACGAAATCACCGATCTCACGTGAAAAAGCTTTCTAAATGAGAAGTTGTTTACATTTTATTCGTGGTAGTCGGCATAGCGCAGTGAGTTTCAGTGCCACGATTTTACGGAATGAGTAAGGCACATAGATAGTAGAGCCAGTGCGAGCCTCTGCGAAGCAGAGGTGGCGCACTGGTATCTATGACTTAATAATAACGGGCTAAGGGTGTTTACGTCTGTTTGTCTGTGTGTCTGTGTGTACGTCTGTCTGTCACGAAATTCGTAGAGCGTGTTCCAGCAAACGTTCTAAGCCCAAATTTTGCGTAGCACATGCTACCCTCATGGAAGCCCAATATACAAAAGCACGAGTAGATTCGTTGAGTGGATCCCTCAGAAATTGCGCGCCAAACGGGTCCACCTGGCTTCTGTACCGCAAAATTCGGTCCGTATCACCACTTTTTGCAGAGTCGTGGATGAGTTTGGTAAGCAAATGTGCAAGCGATGGAGTTTAGCCAGAAAAGTGATTGAAAGTTTACTACATAACGAAAACGGCGCCAAAACGAATTGGTTGTGTAAATGGTCAATTTGCCAAGGTTCTAGCTAAGCGTTTGAGAAGATTTTCGCACAGAGATGTAGCTCACGGTTATCATTACCTTCATGGCGACTACCAAGAAATGACAAAGCCAAAAACCTATTCAAATTTGCGTTTGTTTTTCCGCGAAAAGTTTCATCCACGCGAAATCACCGATCTCACATGAAAAGACTTTCTAAATGAGTGGTTGTTTACATTTTATTAGTGGTAGTCGGCATAGCGCGGTGAGTTCCAGTGCCATGATTTTACGAGAATGAGTAAGGCACATAGATAGTAGAGCCAGTGCGAACCTCTGCGAAGCAGAGGTGACGCACTGGTATATATATAAAACATGAAGTTTGTCCAACTCTTGACCGTATGTTTTTTATAGACTCCTTCGCGCGTGAACCGATTGAGCTGGAACTTTGCATATATATGTTTTCGACCCCGTAGATGGTTTTAGGCTACTTTTTGAAGCGATTCGCTGGATCCTTCTATTGATTTATTGATTTCGGCACTTTGCAATGAAAGTGAAGTCTTATCAACTACTATCATACCCAATGCACATTTTGGTGTAAACAATGGCAGACAAGCTCATTCTCATTTTGCGGTCAGAAGGATGCGGTATTTCCAGATGATGCTGCTTTGAGGTAGGCATTTGCAATTACAACGCACCGTGCAGGTGGATATAGGCTGCGGGACCGGAGAAGGAAAGGGAGGAAGCAGAAATGCACCAGATGGAAGCGGGATGAACAGAGCTCGGCACAGCTGGCACCCTGTCAAGCTGGATATCGCTTTTTGGACGAAAGTAAAGGGAATATCGTTTTTTTGGGGTCCGGGGCGGAGAAGAGCCGCAAGAATGCCGCCGGCATGCCACCGGCACGCTGTCCATCAAACAAACAAAGGGTTTGTTTTCAGCCAAAATGCATATGACACCAAATTTGATGTGTGCATGTGCGTTGGGGGACCCGAAATATGGCCCAAAAATTTATGAAAACTATATGAATAAAAGCTGTGCTGAACTTTTTTCTGAATTAGCTGGCACCGTGCCAGCTGGGTGCCAGCTGAGCTGGCACCGACACTTTGCTCACATAAGTTTCATACTTTTTTACATGAAATGTATCTACACCGTGAAAGTTTACATACAGAAAAGAAACAGTTTCATAATGTTATCTTTTCAGCGTTTTATAGCCTTTGAAAACTACTCGGTCTGCTCCGCAATGGAAAAGTCGGCTTTTTCTGCTTCTCGAGATGTGATTCAACCACTTGAAAAGCTCAAAAAGCTGTGAAAAGTTGTTTCATGTAATTATCATGCATAAAAACCCTACTACGTACTTTTACATAATTTAAAATCAATGACGGGTCTTCAAAATAGGTCAAGGGG